ATGAGGTAAAGTAAATTCTGACGAAATAAACCGCAACAACGTTGATCTCCCCGTCAGCGATTAACAGCTCAAACATGTGAACCAAAGCGCAATTGTGCGTATGCAGATCTCCCATGATCTCATTAAAAACGAGACTTCAACGAGATTTGAAAGCTATTTAGCAATTCCTCCATTAGTTTCAATACGTAAGCTATTGTTACTGGAGAGGTTAAGCTTTGCATATATAATCGAAACTGAACCTGTACGTATCACTCGACCATATACAAATTCATGTAGCCTTCTCATATAAATAGCCGTTCAAATCCAGTGTTTGTTTACACCATAGCGTGTAATGATTCTTTAGTATGTCATTGATGCGGTTTTATAGCTGGTTTTCTAATACATATTTTAAACGAGCTCGTTTCGTAAGATTTTTGGCGCTAAATCATGCATGACATACATCATCGTGTTCAGCAAGAATTCAACTGTGCATCGAAATCAAAATTGACAGCATAGTGTTCAATAGACACGAGTAAAATGGTTCCCGTTGACCCAACGTCAAATATTCAAATCTCCCGTTCTAAACCCGAAACTCTGAAGCTGAAAGAGTATCTGAAGTAGACTAAGCGCGCATAAAACTATGAGCGCTCGATACATTCCTTTGTTAATTTTTGTACTTTGCGTTCACGGTTACGTTGTGAAAAACATCGTTAGCTTAACCTCTCCACTGTTCGTGCAACTTCGCAAACTGTCGCAGATTCGTGATGGGGTCGTTCTAGTTCGATCAACTTGACGTACGTTGACGAAGCCTATGCGAGGATTTACCGATCGTAACGCATTGACACGAATTACAACGAATGGCACACGAAACTTTTATTCGCCGCTAATTTTTAAAATCTATGTCAAAATATAAAATATCTCGCAAAAACTTGACATGATTTTACATATAATTCATGTATTCGATTCGTTGTAGTAATAATGGGACTGCTTCGAATCTGAGCGAATCCACCATTTGTTTAATGAAATCCAAATCAAGAGTCATACATAGAGCTAACTTAAAGGGTGACGCATATCGTTTAGCAAATCGAACGCTCGTTTCTGGTGTTGCTCACCATTTAGTATAAAAGGCTCGATCCCGGAATAATACTCAAGGGTTCAAAGGCTCGAGGTCGTTATGTCAACACCTCTAACTTTTGTATAACATTGGTACAGTATAGATCGTCACACATTTATAAAAGCCATATTGTTTTTTATACGGGAAGCTTATCGGAACCCTTTAAAGGGCAAATTTTAACATATCTTTAAGGAGCATATCTTTTAAAAACGAGCTATTTTAGGGAGGTCATTGAGATAGACTTTAGGGTTCATTCAAAGATATGGCAAATTCTGAAACATGCGATTCTCACACTTCAATACTGAGATAAGATGATTTTTTGAAAAGATTCCAAATCAAAAGATACTATTTGGTATTTCATTTTATAATAGAGGAGTGTTCATAATCACCCTTTGAACTAACAGTTAGTTATTGAATAGCAAAATATTCAATAGCAAATATTTTCGAAGAATGTAATATTTATTTAATCGTGGCGCACAATAAAAGTCTTTATGGTTACACGAATACTCTCAATTGGTGCTGCCGAGTGGCAGATGATAATTAGTATAGTAATAAAATGAAACATTGGCTGAAATTCCAAAAAGAACAAAATTGAAATAACAAGATATCCATTGTGCTGCATAGGCTCTTAAAGTAAACCTTTCTTTTAAATTGTAATGCCTTGCAACAAAGAACACATAGTGCTGAAAATACCCATTTGTTCTTTCTTTGAATCGAAAAAAACATTCCATTTCCTATCAACATCCGCTGATTTACAAATTATTAATGAACGTTTTGAGAAATGAAAACATTTTAGAAGAATTTGTGAATCATTATAGACTTTGCTTTTGAGAAATGATAATTTAAAAAATGCTCTCAAATCCTTTTTTGGACACACGATTTGAAACGTGTGCAAGGAAAATCCTTTCGTCTTTCTGGTGAATATATACATTTTGTATATAATTCTATAAAATATCAGGGCTTTATTTATTTAATGTCCAATTTTTTTTAATTTTTGAGCGATTCATATTCATTCATTTCTGGCTGGGGAGGAGGCTTCAAATGAATTCCCTGCACACAGTGACCCCAAAAACGTTACTTTCTTAGTTAGGGAATAACTTTCTCAATTTTGAAGGAATTTTTCAAAATTTGGGTCCATTTTTGAGGCCTGCGAGCGAGCCTACATCCAAAAAAGTAGAAGAAATTATGGTCCCCTGGGGATTATGGTCCCATTCCTTGAAGGCCCTAACTGGCCCTGATTGTGGATACGATAATAAGGGAAAGAGTTGTATTTAGGTCACCATATAAATCAATGGAAAGTAGGACCATAATTTGATTGGACCTCCTACCCTTTTACACCGGGAAGTGCCGCAACAGAGGCGACAATTCTGAATATTATTTGGGTTGGGTAGTTTGCACCTTTCCTGTCTCAAAGTCGAAATTATTTTATCATATCTATGAGTTCTTTTCCTGGAGGTTATATTGCATATACACTATTGCATATACTATTGCATATACTATTGCATATACTATTGCATATACTATTGCATATACTATTGCATATACTATTGCATATACTATTGCATGTATTGTCTTGGTAAATATGATAAGCACATGTGCTAAAGGGGCAATTACAAAATGATGTGAATTATAAAAAATATTAGTATTCATGTGCTTCGTGCACATGTTTATATTTATACGCGATTGAATTGAAAACTCAGTTAATCAATGTACTAAGAACAGTTATACAGTCTGATATGACAGTTGAGTCGGAGTAAGATAAACAGTAAACAAGTCCAAGTCAATGAACAGGTATGTGAGGGTTGTAGACATTTTAAGATATACGAGATGTTAAAATGGAAAACTCCTAAGCGCAGTGGAGTGATATCCAAATACCATGGATTTGATATATAGGATTCGTATGTTAACAGTGAGAGTAATCTGAGAACTAAAGTCGTAACAAATGGATATATATATGATATTACACGAGTTATCAGTGAACGATTGATGTAAATAACGCATATATAAGGTTTATGTACTGGGAGGTTTTGGATATAGGGTATATCCTGGGGGATATGTTTATATCTCCCCGAGGGACCGAATGGACCAAGGGGAGATATAAATATTTCCCGAGGGAAGTATTGAAAGGCATGAAAGAATAAAATTAGTTGTGCAGATGTTAAATATTATAGTAGCCGGGCCAGAACAAGTCCCAAGTCTGTATATTTACTCTCATTTCTTCACCTTTAAGAGTAAAGTCTCTACAATTTGCATACATATTCCCTGGAGACATCCTAACATAGAATTTATTTGGTTTTAATTACGATTTATTTGTTAAATATAGGGATTCATTTGATTCCGATTGGTCTATAACCAAAAGGATAGGTATCGATATGGTGAACTGAATTCAACAATGTTTTTCTCTTAAACCAATTATTGAAAACTTCCGGAAAAAAACATGGTCCTTTATGTAATGTTGACTGATTAGCATGTCATTAGCATATCATTAGCATGTCATTAGCATACCATAAGCATGTCATTAGCATATCATTAGCATGTCATTAGCATATCATTAGCATGTCATTTTTATTATGTCATTAGCATGGTAGTTGCAGTTTTAGTGGTCCACACACGCAATAGACTTGTTCTTTGTTACTATATTACATAAACCTGAAGCATATTGAATAACTATTTTGGTGTGATATCAGTAAATTATCTTCAACTACGTTTAACTTCAACAATATCTAATAGGACTTACTAACCCGAACAGTATTTGAAGCAATAGTGATTATGTTAAACCACTGCGTTATAATTTTATTTCTGTATGAAGAACTTTTTTATAGGTTGATATCACATTGAACATTTTTCATAATTTATCAAGACATAGATAACTACCCAAATAATACTAAGATTATTTGAGTAAACATATTTCTAGAAAATTACATTGTGTGTAAATTGTGGTTTTAAATGAGAACATTTTAGACATAAAACGTGACAAGCAGAAATAGTATACCATTGTTTAATTGTTAATCGATCCACACGATTCAAAAAAATAACTAAAATATATGTTTATGTTTGAGACAGGCTGAATTGTGAATATATTTTCAAAGATCAGGCTCTAAATAAAGTTATTCTAAATATTTGGTACCAAAGGAGGAGGGAAGTTAGCGCAACAGATTTTGGACAGTCATATGTTGGTTTTTGGCCATTTTCTGAGGATTTAAACAATTGCATATGTTAGGCCAATGCATTACCTCCAGGAAAATCACTACTAGAGATGATAAAATAATTTCTACTTTGAGACAGGGTTGATGCAAACAACCCACCCACATGTTTTTCTGAAATGTTTTCCTAATTTTTCGACTCCTTCCACCTCTGCTTTTTAAATTTTTCTTGCATCAATATGTTGCATTTTGACACATAGTTAACCACTTAAAAGGAATAAGTGATTCCTTCAGGGGTTAAAGATACCCATTATGGGTGACCAAACTTAGCTGAAAGCAATGATTTTTCCAATGGGAAAATAACATGGGAAATATTGTTTTCCACTTTATCTAAAAGGAATCATTTATTCCTTTTAAGGGATTAACTTTGTGCCAAAACGCAACATATTGATGCAAGAAAAATTAAAAAAGCAAGGATGGAAGGGGTTGAAAATTAGGAAAACATTTCAGAAAAAACATGTGGGTGGGTTGTTTGCATCTACGCTGTCTCACAGTCGAAATTATTTTATCATCTCTAGAAGTGATTTTCCTGGAGGTAATGCATTGGCCTAACATATGCACCTGTTTAAATCCCCAGGAAATGGCCAAAATCAAACATATGACTGTCCAAAATCTGTTGCGCTAACTTCCCTCCTCATTTGATGATTAAAACAAAACTAATGGCAAAAAAGTATCATACATATATATGGTTCATTGTAGAAATAATGGCACTGTTCCGAGGCGGTGTCATTTTTTTCTTAGCCTGGGGTGTACTTGAGACTCTTATTTTCGGAGGAATGATGTTTGGTTGGCCTTCTCTAGTGTTCGTCTTAAAGGAAGAACGTTATTTTAGTCATTTGTGTAAATGCGAGACAAACTGTACGGAAACAAACTCCTCGACAAACGCTGGTCCAACATCATGTGCGGCGCAAGATGAACAGTTTAACTTGATATTTGCGATAGCTGTTGCAATCAAAGGCATTTTACTGGTTTTGACTGGATCGATGTATGACAAACTTGGTACCTTAACTACAAGGTTACTTGGAAGGTAATATGCAAACAGGTCATTAAATATATTCACACAAAAATGTACTGGTATATTCAAAGTGCAAAAATTTAGTTACCATAACAACAAGAAGGGTTGACAAATCATTTTTTTGTTGTTATTTTTTTCTCAACACTGAGAACGTGTCAGGGAGAAACATTGAAAATGAAATATGAGGGCATTTGCATTTTGTTTTATGAGTATTTTTTTTATCATAAACGACCGTGCAACCTCCATGGTATTTAATATGCAATGTCGTTGCACTAACCCTACTATCACACCAAACTAGTTCTCACTACGTTCTCGAAAACGGGCTTCAACTGTGTACGAACGGACTGGGCGTACTAAGCACCGTTTGGGATCTATTTACAAACTTCATCGAACGTACTCGAACGGGTAGGTCCTCTAGAACTTAGACAATGCTCAAAATGTTCTCGTGGTCGTCACGTTCTACAATTAGAACGAGTGACAACGTACTAGCGACGAGCTGGACGTACTACGAACGGAACCGTCGTACTTCAATCCTACTAGGGACGTTTTAACAACGAGTTGAAGTGTCTGAGGACGTGTTGAGAACGAGGTAGAACTCATTGCAAACGGGTTTAAACTGATTAAGAACGTATTTAACACTGCTTATGAACGAGTTAGCAAAAATATAGCTATCACACCAAACAAGTTGCCACTGCGTTCTTCAAAACTGGTTTTAAACTGTGTGCGAACGGAATGAACGTACCTGTAACTTTCTAAGGTCTATTTACGAACTTTATGAACGTTCTCAGACGGGAATGTGATTTTAGAATTTTGAATCGATTCAAAATTCGATTGCGACCATGCCGTTCTGTTATCAGGTCATGATGACCTTCTAGACTAAGGGACGCGTTCTACGGCGTTGCACACCGACGTGGTGCGACCTGAACGAACTGCGAACGAGATGGACGTATTGAAGACTGTTTAAGAACGAAGAAGCTTATTATTTCAGACATATTTCCCGACCACAGCCAGATTGAGCCCGTTTTACGACGTTTTCGTAGGACTGGCAAGAACGGGTAAGAACGAGTTTGGTGTGATAGGGGGGTAACCCTACTATCACACCAAACTAGTTCTCACTACGTTCTCGAAAACGGGCTTAAACTGTGCACGAACGGATTTGACGTACTAGGAACCCACTAAGAACCGTTTGGGAACTGTTTACAAACTTCATGAAACACTAGAACGAGTAGGTCCTCCAGCACTTAGAGCATGCTCAACATTTTCTGGTGATCATCAAAACGTTGCCGAATCGGTTTTAAACTGTGTGCGAACTGAATGAACGTAGCTACAACGTTCGACGGTCTGTTTACGAACTTCATGGACTTTCCCGGACGGGGTATGTGATTTAGAATTTTGAATCGATTCAAAATTCGATGGCGACCATACCGTTCTGTAATCAGGTCATGATGACCTTTTAGACTAAGGGACAGTTTATACTACGTTGCACACCGACGTGGTGCGACCTGAACGAACTGCGAACGTGATGGACGTATTGAAGACTGTTTATGAACGAAGTAGCTAATTATTCTAGACATATATCCCGACCGCAGCCAGATCGAGCCCGTTTTATGACATTTTCGTAGGACTGGCAAGAACGGGTAAGAACTAGTTTGGTGTGATAGGGGGGTTACGTGTATTCTGCGATAGTGACATCCGAAAAACACATATATGCATTTATTTTTCCCTTATGGCTTTACTTGATATTGGATTAGAAATAGTTGGCTTAGTTGCTGAAAATCAGGGGCCTGGGGTAAATAAAAACCTCTAAAGAATCTATAATACTCAAATCTGTACTACGATCACATGCGTAATATTGACCATACTGTTGTATATTTACAGTGTTATATTTTTGTCCGGATCTTTGATGATAGCATTCTCCAAACCAGGTACGTACTCCTGCTATAACTGATACAAAATCAATGACAGAACAGTATACACGAATGTACAATGCTTATTTAGTTCCACAATACCCAAACGCTGGGTTATCAGCTACACCTAAAACACATGTGAAAAATATTGTCATATTTAGAAATGTTTACCCTACTATCACACCAAACTAGTTCTCACTACGTTCTCGAAAAAGGGCTTCAAATGTGTACGAACGGACTGGACGTACTTAGAACCGTTTGGGGTCTATTTACAAACTTCATCGAACGTACTCGAACGGGTAGGTCGAACGAGCAAGTTGCCATTGCGTTCTTCAAAACTGGTTTTAAACTGTGTGCGAACGGAATGAACGTAGCTACAACGTTCTAAGGTCTGTTTACGAACTTCATGGACTTTCCTGGACGGGGAATGTGATTTAGAATTTTGAATCGATTCAAAATTCGATGGCGACCATACCGTTCTGTAATCAGGTCATGATGACCTTCTAGACTAAGAGACGCGTTATACGACGTTGCACACCGACGTGGTGCGACCTGAACGAACTGCGAATGAGATGAACGTATTGAAGACTGTTTATGAACGAAGTAGCTAATTATTCTAGACATATTTCCCGACCACGGCCAGATTGAGCCAGTTTTACGACGTTTTCGTAGGACTGGCAAGAACGGGTAAGAACTAGTTTGGTGTGATAGGGGGGTTAAGTATTGTTTTATAAATGCGACTCCTTTACATTTTGAAACACATGCGAACTGGAAAGTGGAATTAGAAATGTGCATTCGAAGTTTCATAAACATTCCAAGTTTCATATCTAAGCTTTCACATATAATATATAAACCTACCCTCTTCCAGCAATTCCATACGTCCTATACCCAGCGGTGCTATGCGTGATGTACGGAGGTTTCTTTATCCTTATGACTAATATGCAACTTGGAAATCTTCTCAAGAGAGGGCGCAATACTCTGATATGTATAATGAACGGGGCATTTGATTCAAGCGCATTCGTCTTACTTCTTATCAAAGTATGTGCAGTATTTTGTTAACATTATAGAGTTTTTCGGTTTGCAAATGTACAAATATATCCCTTTATATGGTCCTTACTGTAAACCTTCCGCTTCCTCTTAATTATCAGCAACATTGTTTCACATCATGACATAATGAAATACATATCTATTATCATGAAAAACAAAGGATGTACTTATAATTCATCTTATATTTTATATATCCGGTGTCCAAAAAGTGAGACACTTTTTGACAAGCAATTTCTCAGCAATTAACCAAATTCACTGAAATGTGCCTCAGGGTATCAATAGCAAGTTGTAAAAATATCAAAATATCAAGTTTATGTAATATAGATGATTATAATATATATAATATATATATAGTAGCCCGGACAGAATTGTTCAATGGTCACCTTTTCCTTAATAACTTTTATAATTTTCAGTATTATCATAGTCTGATCACACATTTGAAAACTAGAGTAAAATTCTGACATACAAAAAAAATATTTAAGGAACTCTTAATTTATTGATATTATAGGCGTTCATAGTATGAGTGACGCAAATACATAATTCATCATTTTGCCTCATATTTGTTCAAAATGGACAATAATTTGTAATGTAATTTGTTGTAATTTGTAATGGTCTGTGTCTTATAAAATGTACAAACGGTCGAATCAAATTATTTACGTTTTTGGACCCCCTGTGATGAATCATGAAAGACATTTTTCGACCTGAAAGCCGGAAGTGTTTTTTAGAAAATGGTATCTAAAAAATCAAGACATATGCACTTCCCTAAACATTGCCTCAAATGTTGCTGCACCATAGTGTGCTACGGATCCTTCATATTCGGAAGTCATACCAGCATTGACTATTGTTTTCAAAGTGTTTGGCTGATCTATTGTTGAGAAATTGGTTTTTGTTTTGTTGGTACAGACGCTATGAAGTTCTTTTTGCGTTGCTCCGGTATGGGATCTTTTGACGATGCTATCTTGATTTTTTTAGTACTCACATAATATTTAATTGGCCTTTTTTGTAATTAATTGTAACTTGCTAATAATACTCCTGGGCTACTTTGTACAAAGTTGCAGTGAATTTGGCTTATCAATTGCTGAGAAAATACTTGTCAAAAAATCTCCCTTTTTTGGGACACCAGATATATTTGTCACTGATACCCAGTTAGTTTGGCGATATCATACTGTACATGTACAGTAGTATAAGGTTGTATAATCGTAACGTAAATGGGATCTCATAAATGGATAATTGCTGAAAATATATTTTAGATATACTTATTTTATTTTTTGATTTAACAATACTTATATTGACCTAAATTTTGTTGCAAAATCAATATTTTGATCCTCTTTATAGGTTGCATATGAAGCCGGGATATCTTTACACGCGTCTTTCTTAACTATCAGTGCCATCTATAGTATCTGTATTTTAAGTACGTTTCTATGGTTACCACGACAATTTATTCTGGATCCACTGCCAGATGACTTTCACTTGACGATATGCTCTTCATGTGAACGTAATCATGGAGATTACGCAATCGGAGTTAAATCCGACCTTGAAATAAGCAACATTAATGAGACGCAGACACAAGATCCAAATGAAGAATCGGGTGAAACCATCGGATCGACAGGGGATGAAGCACCAAACACCATAGGTGGTTATCGTATGTTAGAGTCGCCACCACCTTTTAGTGTTGTTATACAATCGCCTATGTATTGGACAAGTGTTCTATGGTTTTCGTCAACACACCTACGGCTCATGTTTTTCTTGGGTAACTTCAACTCGTGGATAACATACCTGACTAAAGACAATGTACAGAACGGTAAGTTTCTGCATCGGCTTTCAAGAGACTTGGTATCTGAGCATTGTAATATCAATTTCACGATATTTCGATGAACAGATCTGCACTTTAACCCAAACCGTTTATGTAACTTAAGTGAGGAATTAAATCGACGATTCTGTTGTCTTCTGAGCTATTTTTTCGCAAACATGTACATTTTCTGAAACATATGATACTGATACACGTTTGTGATAAAAAACGTCGTTTGGATTCTGCCTACAACGCGTGATATAAGGAAAAAAGAAAAATCGTACCTTCGACGTTCCGACATTTTGTTACCAAAAACGAACCGCATAATCGAGCGGATCGCAGTGAATTTAACTGCATTGATCGTTTGTATCTATTTTGTAAATACTAAAGCCCATTTCATTGTTTTATTGCGTCAGTAAAACCTAAAAAATAAGATATCAAAAGATCATTGTGCAATAGTATATGGAAACATATATTCCTTTTTAAATGTCATTTGTTTATCTTGGATTGCTCATCAGTAGTTTAGCTAATAAAGTGTGAAGCCACAACCTTTTAAAGGTGGTGGCTACGTGCTGATATTTGGATGCTTCTTTGCCATGTTATTTTTATTGGTGAAATTCTTTAAATTACAGGGTACAGGCTTATTGCACAAAAAACTAAATAATCTGAAATACACCATTCACATCAGAATAGCCTGACAACGGTAAAGTCAGATACCGTTGTCACAAATGGCGGACATAACCGTCGCTTTACCTTCGGTTCGTGCAATGCTTCTGTCCCAACTCGTGCTGAACTTCACCAAAAAAACTTATTTGATATATTTGTTAACCACAAATGGTGTGATTGGGATATGTTTCATATTGGAGATTGGTAAAATGTAATGTTAAAAAGGTTTGTCAGAAGATTTCAGTCGATTTGTCAAATTGTTTTACTTCTACGTAACCAAAGCATCGTGACAACGTAACATCTACCTCAAAAAGATACATAATGAGGTGGGTGTTACGTTATCATGATGCTTTTGTTACGTAGAAGTAAAACAATTTGACTAATCGACTTAAATCTTTTAACAAAACTGTGTAAAAGGTCTATCATTTTTTATTCCTTGAAGTATATAATGAAGTAAACATGATCTTCATTTTCATTTTTAGTGAGTATGTATACAACAGTATTCTCGTTTATGTTATTTGCGGCTGTTATTATGGGTCCTCTATCTGGGCCAATGCTTGACCGACGAACAACGGCCCCAATCGGATCCCTAGCCCTTAAATTAGGTATTTATATCGTGATTATATTTATTCGGAATTTGTAAATCTTTTCTTGACTATAGATAGGTTTTATCATACATGACGTTACATTAGAATTACACTAGGATGTATTTTTTCCATTCCAGAGAAAATTCGTCATTTCATCCCAATGTTTTATCTTAACACCGGCCTTGGTGTCCTGCTTTCTGCATGTGCAGCCATTCCTGTGTTAGAACTGCAATACTTTACATTCGTGGTGTTTGTCTTGCATAGGACCTTCAACTACGGTCCTGCATCGGCATTCCTTGCACAAGCGTAAGTGCAGTGAAATAAAGTCCCCTGATACTTGTAAAAGTATTGCTGTAAGGTTCACAATGAGCCTAATTATATTGTTAAACTGATCATTTTTGTAAAAAGCCATAATCAAATAAAACTATATATATATTGCGTTTTTAGATTTCCAAGTCAACATTTTGGTAAGCTTTATGGTATTATGTTTACTACGGGTGCTATTGTAAGTTTACTGCAGTACCCTCTGTTTATCTGGATCAAAGGACCACTAAAGAATGATTCCACGTGGGTGAGTACATTCATGAATAAATAATTATATTCAATGTAGCAGTTTACCTTTGGTTTTGCGTTTCAACGGTCAGTAAGATATCCATGGTGATAGTATATACATACGTATATATAAATATTTGTAAAATGTATGTTATTTTTATGATAATATAACAAGTTAGGCATGAAATGTTAAAGGGATCCAACACCTTACAAAACTTCTTAACGGAGAGGAATAAGGGAAAATGCTTGCCGGATTCTGAATCTTTGTATTTTTTGATGATTTTTCACCGTCTTAGAATTTCAATTTTTTTCCTTTGAAAAAATGAAATTTGCATTGTTTTCCAATTAGACAAATGAGTAAACATGAATAGCTCGAAATCTAACGGTGAGATTTTGTTTTAAAAAATCATGGATATCAAGGCTAAATATAGCTATACAATAAACATAAAAAAGCAATGCTTGGACTCTTCATATTCACTCAAAAAATTAATTAGTAAATGAGGTTTGATATTTGTGAGAATAAGTTGGACGAGTCGCAATGCTCTACAAACACCAGACTACAGGGTGGATTAGGATCAATGACACACATAAAAATTAATTTAAAAATATTTCATGACAATTATCTCAAACAAAAGCAGTTAGCGAAGGATACATTTCATTACACTCAATAAATAGTTATCACTTTTGACTATATATACATATCTCACGGGAATGTATTTCCATCTGCTCAAGATATCATATTTTAGCTTCGAAAATCACAATCGTTGGATAATACATTTGTCTCAGAATGATAGGCCACCCTGTAGCAATGTAGCTTTCACTTGAAGTGTACCCTTGAGAATAATGAACTTACTTTCAAATTGGTCTTGCTTTTGTGGTGTATGTGGCTTTTTAGCAAATCTGCCACGCTCATTTCTTTCCAGAACCATCTTGTTCACATGTAACACTAGGCTATACGCGCATGTATAGACAGATGACATAGATATACATATAAATTATATATTGCACCTGTATTTACTTACATGGGAATATTCCCTTTGGAAAAATGCAAATGCATGAACATATATTTTCATCTTATATATGACTTCAAGCTAACATATTATTTCATATTTATATTTTCATAGTTAGTCTAACATAAATAATAGATCCATGAGAACAATATTCTTTGTTTTCTTAAAAATTGATGGGTTTACTGGGAATTCAATAAATTACAATTTGCAAGTGGTATGACCTTAGTTGCAAAGTACTGTTTATATATGCAGCTAAATAGCATAACATATGTTGAATGAAGCATATGGTATGGATTAGTCGTGTGACACACAAACTGACCAATACATGAGGGTATTAGCTACTTTTCACAGAAACCAAAGGAGGACAGTGCTTTTATTTCAACTGGGAGCTTACCTCCACACGACTGATCATGTGACCATGGTGTTGGGTCTCTTTAAAATGCTTCACATTTTACATGGATTATTGATTATTATAAAATACATAGTTTCAAATTATAATGTTTCCAATTCGATTAAATCTTGATCAAGCCTAACATTTCTCCAACGTGGGTATAAAGATCTGTATTGTTTTTTTCTTCTGAAAGGCTTTCATGACCTCTTGGCTAAAGAGTCTCTAAAAATAAAATTCTTAAAACGTAAAATTACAAACATGATCATCTATCGATTTGTTTCAGGTACACATTATTCTCATTTGTTTTGCCGCTGTGTCCGTTATTCATCCTATCAACGTATGGTTGTATTGCCGGATGAATGCAAGTCGGATACACATAAACAGCGAACAGAATAAAGTAAAGGATATGCACAGAGAAGATAATCATATACAACCAAGTGTTCACAATGTCGTTTATAATGATACTACAGGGCGTTCAATAAGAAATGATACACTCATTTGTAATGAGATTTTGCCCTCTGAATTGGAATCCAAGCCATATAATAGCGTCATTGCACATTCATGTACAAATCATCGACACATTAACGTATGCAGCTTATAGCATGGCACCCCTGTCGTCCTTGATAACAACCGTATTGTGCATGATTGAAGCAGCTTATTAGGAAACGCAACACAAATCTCTTTTTTTAAATATTATCGGATGTGACTCGCCTTTTGACAAGTATTTTTCAGCAACAGACGAACCGAATTCTTTGAAAAATGTTATCCAGGGATGAAAAAATGTTATCCAGGAACTACTGTTTTCCAAGTAGAAATGTTCTTTTTTGTATTTTATGCAACGACATCGCCTCCCATGACACATATATATACACGATCACCAGAAAATTTTGAGCATGCTCTAAGTTGTGGAGGACCTACTCGTTCTAGTAGTTTCATGAAGTTTGTAAACATATCCCAAACGGTTCTTAGTGGGTTCTTAGTACGTTAAATCCGTTCGTGCACAGTTTAAGCCCTTTTTTTAAGAACGTAGTGAGAACTAGTTTTGTGTGATAGGAGGGAAAGGTGATACAAACGCTAAAAGTTTTAATCGCGCAACTCTGACATTGGCTTTTTAGACACTCATTTTTGAAACGGCCAATCCTCACACAATATGTATGCCTTGGTCACATTTTCGCCGGGCGTCGGCCGATGAGTAGTGATCATCGGCCGATTTCTAAATCGACCGGGCGCCGGTGACTTTTCCCAGATGTCTTGATTTCAGATAGCCTTGCGATGCCCGTGCGATATCCTATAGATTTAGTTGTTTGCGGGCGCCGTGCGGTGCCTGTACTCTGTACTAATGTGACCATACTCACGGCGAAATCAACACAGATGTGAAGCACTTTCTGCTAGCTGAATATACTAACAAGAATACTATTTAGCTAGGTCGATAAACTCACAAGAAAGAGCATTATTTCCACCTTGCCGGGCCAGTTCTAGGGGTTTTAGTGCTAGTTTAGAAGGCATTCATTTTACTATATCGACCTGAGAAATGTGTGACGTCATAGTGGTGGTCCATATGGACCGGTCTAGAATATATTCTGGACCGGCAATTTTCCCCGGGAAATTAGAAATCGTTCAGTGCGTAAGATTTTCTTGCTATTTCAGTCCTGGTCGTTAACGGTGGTAAAAATACTAATAACGTCATTTCTGCGAGCAATATAGTGAAATATTGGACCTTGGGCTTTCGGCCCTCGGTCCAATATTTCACTATATTGCCCTTAGAAATGACGTTACTGTACTATTCTTTTTCAAAAAAATCCCAAATCTCTGTTTACCGGAATGTGCGGATTTTGCAGGAGAGTGCTGTTTGATTAATACCTGTGAATATGTATATTATGTATTTTGCCAGTTGTATTTAATAATCCCTAAAAGCCAGGCTGAAGCTATGGCTGCTTTGCATACCGTAATATGCAGTTTACAATCTGTTAAACTTGAAAAATAGCTACTTTTAAATAAAAGATGTCAGCTCCTTGACAAAATGATACGTTGTTGACTTATTCTTGACTTATTATTAAAGAAATCATAACATTAGAAGATATGTTTAGATAATCACTCCAAAGTGATATTACACCACGACTCCATGGCTCAGCAAAATATTGTGTTTAGTCAACATTTTGATTGAAAATTATAATTTTCATTTTATTTCATTTTTACCCATTGGTGAAGAAAGGGTTAATCTTTTAACTTCATTACTCATGTTAGATCCTTTCAGCTGACACCCTAACCTTTCCACCTTTTCATCTTATTTTATCCTCTTATTTTCCAAAAGGACCTTATACACCCTCCATTGGGATCTCCCCATGAGAAAAAAATAATTCATCTGATTTTTCAAAATAAAAATACTGCTTTTATTATTACATTTATATGTGCACTAGTATCTTTTTGACCTATATTCAGCACTGTATTGATGAATGGACCACTTATTAGGGCCAATATTTAATCATAAAGTGTACAGGGGTCGAGATGCCAAACCAGGAAGTGTTTTTGTGTCTGTCAAAATCCATTTGCATCCTACACATCCCTACATCTTATCCAAATATGTTATTAATTAATGAAACATAACAGTATAATCTAAATTGGATTTACAACGTTGTATGGGATTTCATAAGTTTAAAATTTGCTTTTGAAGCATTTTCCTATAGCCATTTTGTAGGAAAAAAATGATGAAAAAATGTCTAAGCCTTTAATTTGAAGTATGACCTGAATCGATTGCAAACTTTATATTTGCACATCTGATGTGATATACCATTTGTGTCATATTGTGAAATTATTTAATTTGCAATCGATTCAGGTCATAGTGTATTTTCGGTATTTTTGTGAAAATCAATAGAAACCAATGGCCTCCATTGGAATCTGATGATATCCACATGTTAAGTCAATGGAGCACATCCAATGACAAGTCAATACACCCTTGCTGAACTTAATGACCTCAACCTCAGCCCATGTGGGTCCAAACGCTTAAATATTTTCCACAGTATTATGTGACATTGTATTCTTTATGTTACACCCTAAAATGATTCATTTTGTTCATGGGGAGATCATAATGGCGGGTGCACTAGATCCTTTCTACCAAAGATTGTACAGTGGGGCTACAAAATGAAAGTTTGCCTAAGATGGCTGCATGGATTCCTGTTTTTAAATATTTCTAATTATGATCAAAGAGCACTTTGATAATCTGATTTGTAAAACTAACAAGGGCTGGGTCAAATTTCTTTTTGAGAGCTTGGTACTTTACGTTAGCATTGCCCGGATATTAGCTAGACTACAGGGTGATCCAAACAGAACTCTCTAAAAGTGTAATAATTTCTAAATACTTATCAACCCAATTTTATGTGCATAAACTAGAATCTATGGATGATAATATTATATCAGGTTTGTTTAACAAAATTGGTATTTGTGATATCGTGGATGATCTTAGAATGTGTCCAGTTTTCGGAAAATCAACATTGAGACAAAATCATATCATGAGAAGTTATGAGAAATTTGGAAGGAAATTCCAAGGAAGACGTGAAATGAAAGTCTAATTCAATATTTTAATTAAAAAATGAAGGATAGGCAATTGTAAAACACCTAGTAGACATCAGATGAATAAAATTCCCGGTCTCTGGGCAAGAACACTGTACGAAATTTCATTGGGTGAATTTTCAAGAAATCAGTAAGACAGCTGAATGATCAGTTAAGGGGACTGCTTGACATGTGATATCAAAGTCAAATACTAAATAATGAGTTCAAAGAGGGAGAAAGAGAAACTATCTAGAGACGTTTCTAAGAATGAGGGTGTGATGACACCTGAAAGCACTCTGTGTGATTCAATTGAACACAGATTCACTCAGAAGGTGCAGTCATACCTAAAGATGGCTTAAAGCAGAACTAATGGTTGGCTCTCTGTTCGTCTCAATATGTAGCTTTATGTGTAATTGAGGAAATAGAAATAAAACTAAAAAAAACACTAGGTAAAGTGATTATATTAAAAAGAATAATATCAATTGGCCCACTGACATAAGTGATGGAGATTTTTTGCATCAAGGTCACCGGAAGTGTGAGGTGATATCGACGTTGGTCGCCATATTGTAACCCAAGAAAGATGGTAAAATATGCCCCACAACATATTCTGATAAACTGATAATCGACCAACTCGCTTTATTTAAACATATTCATTCATTCCAGACAAAATTCAAATAGGTTTGATAGTGTAATACAACTTAAATAAGCTGATAAATTCAAAATATTGTCACAGTTTGACTCCCGGTCTAAAAGAGACTTTATGAAAATAACACCAGAGATTATTGATTAATTTGTGATGTTTAATGACTCATTAATTGATAATGGTGGCATATTATGCTGGAACACTTCCTCATTAATGATATCTCAACATCTATACTCACAAAAAATTAATACAGCTTAACAAGAAGTTAATAATGGGTTTAATGGGTTTAAACAAATATTGTGTAACCATTTAGTTGACACGAAAAGTTTACACTTTCTTTTCTTTCAAAAGTAGGCACATTTATTAATTGACCATAACAAGAAAAATATTGAATATTATGAAACAAAAGTCCCACATTGTCATCCATAGGTTGTAGTTTCTGTACATGAAAAGTAAAGCTGATCGCATATTATAGAACTTATCTCATTTTTGGAGGGTTCTGTTTTTTGGGTCGCCCTTATATTTTTGAATATTTTACATGCAAAGCCTAATGGATTAAGAACAAATTAAGAATCGCTGCAGAGATACAAGTACACATGGCTTGGTATTTGAGAAAAAAAGAAATACAATTTTTATTGAACATAAAAAAAGCTCTGTTTATACGCACTAAATAACTTTCTATATCATTTTTTCATACATGTAAGATATATTACCTTGCATAAATGGAATGTGTAAAGTAACTCCTTATGAATGTAGATGCATACAGGATGTTCCAAAAGTAACAGGACTGGTGCTGGCATTTTGTCAATTTTGCACCGAGTGTCTTCAAATTTTCACAAATTGTACTTTGAAGTATTGCAACTAAAATTGTATAGTTTCAGAAAAAACGATGAAATTCGGGTAGAGTTATGGTTACTATAGTAACATGACATCACAATACCCGGGGCAAGGCATATTTCACGTCATAGTGACATAACTGATGTGTTACATGCCTTTGTTCCCATGGTTACTTTGTATCAATGACGTGACGTCATGATATTATCATGGTTATTAAAGAAATCTAATATCAAAACGAGGTAAGCGGGCTATATCGGGGTAATCGGGCAATATCGGTGGATATAGCTCGCTAACTTTCCCATTGACTTCCATACAAATGCTTCGCTAGGTATGTAATACTAGCATTTATTCAATTTCCTGGAATATCACTATGAATAACAGTCTGAACAATTCATGGTTGAGTTTTTGAAAATACCAATTTTGAAGCCCGTTTTCTACCATGATAACGCACCTGGCAGGTCACCATTGAAGACCATGCATGGCTATAGAGGAGCTAGGTCTTGAGTTCTAATATCATGCACCATGCCATACTCTTCTGATCATGCAACATCTATTTCTGTCGAAACTTTGCAGTTTTAGTAGTGATACATGAAAGAACATTATGTAAAATTTCGAAGACGATTGGTGCATATTCAACAAAATGCCAGCACCAGTCCTGTTACTTTTGGAACACCCTGTACATTGAAATTCGCATTTCAAGGTTTTCTAATTTTGATTTGCAGCTTCTTGATACATATGTCACTTTACTCATTAAAAACAGACTTTCTCTTTCATTATAGTATTCTGCGGCTTTTTCTTATTTTATCGTCATATCTGGGGACTTAATTACATCATTTGGATAAAACATTGTTTTGGCAAATCTGTAGCACATATGCCAAAGGGGGAAATAACATTTAAAGGCTCCCTCACGCATGAGCGAATCCACCAAACACAGCCTGGCGCATGAGGTAAAGTCAATTCTGACGAAATAAACCGCAACAACGTTGATCTCCCCGTCAGCGATGAACACCTCAAACATATTAACTAAAGCGCAATTATTCGTATGCAGATCTCGTTCGATCTCATTATAAACGAGACTTCAACGAGATTTGAAAGCTATTTAGCAATTCTTCCATTAGTTTTAATACGTAAGCTTTCGTTACTGTTCGTGCAACTTCGCAAACTGTCGCAGATTCGTGATGGGGTCGTTCTAGTTCGATCAACTTGACGTACATTGACGAAGCCTATGCGAAGATTTACCGATCGTAACGCATTGACACGAATTACAACGAATAGCACACGAAACTTGTATTCGCCTCTAATTTTTAAAATCTATGTCAAATTCTAAAATATCTCGCAAAAACTTGACATGATTTACATATAATTCATGTATTCGATTCGTTGTAGTAATAATGGCACTGCTTCGAATATGAGCGAATCCACCATTTGTTTAATGAAATCCAAATCAAAAGTCATACATTGAGCTAACTTAAAGGGTGACGCATATCGTTTAGCAAATCGAACGCTCGTTTCTGGTGTTGCTCACCATTTAGTATAAAAGGCTCGATCCCGGAATAATACTCAAGGGTTCAAAGGCTCGAGGTCGTTGTGTCAACACCTCTAACTTTTGTATATAACATTGGTACAGTATAGATCGTCACACATTTATAAAAGCCATATTGTTTTTTATACGGGAAGCTTATCGGAACCCTTTAAAGGGCAAATTTTAACATATCTTTAAGGAGCATATCTTTTAAAACGAGCTATTTTAGGGAGGTCATTGAGATAGACTTTAGGGTTCATTCAAAGATATGACAAATTCTGAAACATGCGATTCTCATACTTCAATACTGAGATAAGATGATTTTTTGAAAAGATTCCAAATCAAAAGATATCATTTGGTATTTCCTTTTATAATAGAGGAGTGTTCATAATCACCCTATGAACTAACAGTTAGTTATTGAATAGCAAAATCACCTTATGCAGACAGAGCCTGTGGGAAATATTGGGTGCGGAGAAAATGAGCGGAGGGTGCGGAGCTAACGGTCATTTTTGAATTTAAATTTGGGATATTTCTGAAACTAGGCCGTTTTGGGACTTCAAATATACCAAGATATGTGTATTTCATACAATTGTGAAAATAGTAGCGCAATTCATTCTATAGCGACGCAGTGTGCCTTAAACCTTTCCCAGACCTATATATTTTGAAATCATCCTTTTAATACTGAGTCCCCAGCATTAATAAAAAATGGTGTTCAAGGTACACTATCTATACAAATTATTTTTGCATCTTGGAAGCCAGGCAGTATCTGTGTGATTTTATAAAAATTCGGAAATGTTTTTCAGATATGAGCCCCCTCTAAATATTGGGTGCGGAGGAGCTCCATAAACGTACCTCCGCACCCAATATTTAGAGGGGGCTCATATCTGAAGAACATTTCCAATTTTTTATAAAATCAAACAGATACTGCCTGGCTTCCAAGATGCAAAAATAATTTGCATGGGTAGTGTATCTTGAACACCATTTTTTATGAATGCTGGGGACGCAGTATTAAAAGGATAGTCTCAAAATATATAGGTCTGGGAAATGTTTAAGGCATAATGCGTCGCTATAAAATGAATTGCACTACTATTTTCACAATTTGATATTTGGTGTCAAATACACATATCTTGGTATATTTGAAGTCCCAAAACGGCTTAGTTTCAGAAATAATCCAATTTTAAATTCAAAAATGACCGTTAGCTCCGCACCCTCCGCTCATTTGCGCCGCACCCAATATTTCCCACAGGCTCTGTCTGCATAGGGTGAAAATATTCAATAGCAAATATTTTCGAAGAATGTAATATTTATTTAATCATGGCGCACAATAAAAGTCTTTATGGTTACACGAATACTCTCAATTGGTACTGCCGAGTGGCAGATGATAATTAGTATAGTAATAAAATGAAACATTGGCTGAAATTCCAAAAAGAACAAAATTGAAATAACAAGATATCCATTGTGCTGCGTAGGCTCTTAAAGTAAACCTTTCTTTTAAATTGTAATGTCTTGCAATAAAGAACACATAGTGCTGAAAATACCCATTTGTTCTTTCTTTGAATCGAAAATAAAAATACATTCCATTTCCTATCAACATCCGCTGATTTACTTAGCAGTTATGTCCCTATCATTGAATATATGCCTAAGGTCTGTCACCATATATAGCCCGAGCTTGCGAGGGTTATATTACGACAGACCGAAGGCATATATTCAATGATACGGACATAACTGTTGTATTACATACTTTTATATCATGGCTACGTTATATCAATGACGCCACGTGTCTGTGTGCGAGTGAAATTAGGAAGAAATGAAACATGACGTCCCGATGACGTCATAAGATTGTCATGGTAAAAGGTTTGGCGGCTATACAGGAATATATAGCCGACCTTCAGCTCCATTGACTTCAATACAAATGCTTCGCTGGGTATGTAATACAAATTATTAATGACGAGAATCATGAACGTTTTGAGAATTGTTGAAAATTTAAAAAATGTTCTCAAATCCTTTTTTGGACACACGATTTGAAATGTGTGCAAGGCAAATCCTTTCGTCTTTCTGGTGAATATATACATTTTGTCTTTAATTCTATAAAATATCAGGGCTTTATTTATTTAATGTCCAAATTTTTTAATTGTTGAGCGATTCATATTCATTCATTTCTGGCTGGGGAGGGGGCTTCAAATGAATTCCCTGCACACGGTGACCCCAAAACGTTACTTTCTTAGTTAGGGAATAACTTTCTCAATTTTGAAGGAATTTTTCAAAATTTGGGTCCATTTTTGAGACCTGCGAGCGAGCCTACATCCAAAAAAGTAAAAAACAACAGATATATTCCTTCAGGAATCGAACCCGGTGTAAAAGAAATTATGGTCCCCTGGGGATTATGGTCCCCTTCCTTAAAGGCCCTCACTGGCCCTGATTGTGGATATGATAATAAGGGAAAGAGTTGTATTTAGGTCACCATATAAATCAATGGAAAGTAGGACCTCCTACCCTTTTACACCGGGAAGTGCCGCAACAGAGGCGACAATTCTGAATATCATTTGGGTTGGGTAGTTTGCACCTTTCCTGTCTCAAAGTCGAAATTATTTTATCATCTCTATGAGTTCTTTTCCTGGAGGTTATATTGCATATACTATTGCATGTATTGTCTTGGTAAATATGATAAGCACATGTGCTAAAGGGGCAATTACAAAATGATGTGAATTATAAAATATTAGTATTCATGTGCTTCGTGCACATGTTTATATTTATACGCGATTGAATTGAAAACTCAATTAATCAATGTACTAAGAACAGTTATACAGTCTGATATGACAGTTGAGTCGGAGTAAGATAAACAGTAAACAAGTCCAAGTCAATGAACAGGTATGTGAGGGTTGTAGACATTTTAAGATATACGAGATGTTAAAATGGAAAACTCCTAAGCGTATTGGAGTGATATCCAAATACCATGGATTTGATATATAGGATTCGTATGTTAACAGTGAGAGTAATCTGAGAACTAAAGTCGTAACAAATGGATATATATATGATATTACACGAGTTATCAGTGAACGATTGATGTAAATAACGCATATACGAGTATATGATACATGGTACATGTATAAACAAAATCATTCTCAAGAAAGAATAAAATTAGTTGTGCAGATGTTAAACATTATAGTAGCCGGGCCAGAACAAGTCCCAAGTCTGTATATTTACTCTCATTTCTTCACCTTTAAGAGTAAAGTCTCAACACTTTGCATACATATTCCCTGGAGACATCCTAACATAGAATTTATTTGGTTTTAATTACGATTTATTTGTTAAATATAAGGATTCATTTGACTCGATTGGTCTATAACCAAAAGGATAGGTATCGATATGGTGAACTGAATTCAACAATGTTTTTCTCTTAAACCAATTATTGAAATCATTCTGTAAAAAAACATGGTCCTTTATGTAATGCTGACTGATTAGCATGTCATTAGCATATCATTAGCATACCATAAGCATGTCATTAGCATATCATTAGCATGTCATTAGCATATCATTAGCATGTCATTTTCATGTCATTAGCATGGTAGTTGCAGTTTAAGTGGTCCACACACGCAATAGACTTGTTCTTTGTTACTATATTACATAAACCTGAAGCATATTGAATAACTATTTTGGTGTGATATCAGCAAATTATCTTCAACTACGTTTAACTTCAACAATATCTAATAGGACTTACTAACCCGAACAGTATTTGAAGCAATAGTGACTATGTTAAACCACTGCGTTATAATTTTGTTTCTGTATGAAGAACTTTTTTATAGGTTGATATCACATTGAACATTTTCATAATTTATCAAGACATAGATAACTACCCAAATAATACTAAGATTATTTGAGTAAACATATTTCTAGAAAATTACATTGTGTAAATTGTGGTTTTAAATGAGAACATTTTAGACATAAAACGTGACAAGCAGAAATAGTATACCAGTGTTTAATTGTCAATCGATCCACACGATTCAGAAAAATAACTAAAATATATGTTTATGTTTGAGACAGGCTGAATTGTGAATATATTTTCAAAGATCAGGCTCTAAATAAAGTTATTCTAAATATTTGGTACCAAATTTGATGATTAAAACAAAACTAATGGCAAAAAATTATCATACATATATTTGGTTCATTGTAGAAATAATGGCACTGTTCCGAGGCGGTGTCATTTTTTTCTTAGCCTGGGGTGTTCTTGAGAACCTTATTTTCGGAGGAATGATGTTTGGTTGGCCTTCTCTAGTGTTCGTCTTAAAGGAAGAACGTTATTTTAGTCATTTGTCTAAATGCGAGACAAACTGTACGGAAACAAACTCCTCGACAAACGCTGTGCGGCGCAAGATGAACAGTTTAACTTGATATTTGCGATAGCCGTTGCAATCAAAGGCGTTTTACTCGTTTTGACTGGATCGATGTATGACAAACTTGGTACCTTAACTACAAGGTTACTTGGAAGGTAATATGCGAACAGGACATTGAATATATTCACACAAAAATGTACTGGTATATTCAAAGTGCAAAGATTTAGTTACCATAACAACGAGAAGGGTTGATAAATCTTAAACACTCGATCATTTTTTTGTTGTTATTTTTTTCTCAACACTGAGAACGTGTCAGGGAGAAACATTGAAAATGAAATATGGGGGCATTTGTATTTTGTTTTATGAGTATTTTTTTTGATGAACGACCGTGCAGCCTCCATGGCGTTTAATATGCAATGTCGTTGCACTTACGTGTATTCTGCGATAGTGAAAGAGGTTTCGCAAAACGTTTTTTAGCTCCACGGATCCGTATCCGTAACGTATTTATCAGATTTATGCGTAGTCAGTTCAATTTATACGTGAAATGATACGGAAAACACGAAAAATGAGGCTTTTGTACGTTGGTCATTTACGTATCCGATTTTACCCTTCGATTATATTGTTTTTAGTTCTAAAGGTATCACTATATGAACAAGCACAGTGTGCTGTGTATAATTTGACTAAAATTTGGTGAATGAATTTGTTTATTATTTGAAATAAATCGAGGTTTTCAAATGGTATGTTCAATTCATTTTACACTGTATGGAATGGTATTGCAATAATTACAGTGTACATGTTTCGCACAACGTTTTAGCTATCCGTATCAAAATCCGTAACGCATCGATGGAGTAAAAGTGTACTCAATACGTTTGTGATACCAACAGCAATACCGAAAGTACGTAAACTAACACTTTCTGTGCGTAGTTGTCTCCGTATCTATTTTGTCCTTCAAATCTTGATAAATTTTTCCCTAAATGTATAATTTTAGTAACACACATATGTTATCAAGTGTGTCGTGCTAATTTTGATGAAGTAATAGACATCAAACCAACGGTTAGCAGCTAGGCCACCTGAATATATATTTTGTGCCTTAAGCCACGCTCCGAATTCATATAGAGCAGGGTCTTGGGCCTAGTTTGAGTATAGTAGCTTGTTCCTGACCTTGACAATGAATGTGATATTGGGTCTAAAGATGGCGTCCCGCATCACTCTTGCCCGTATCCAGCTTGTGGCAAGGGGGGGGGGGGGTGGGCTTTTTTGGCTTAAAACTCCCGAGAAGTGCTCAGTATGATGAAAAACTGAATGATTTTGAAAAAAAATTCTAGCCAGGTAGCCTCGTTTGGAGGTCCAGGGAGACTAGTGCCCTAAAGTTTAGTGCCCAGGCTTCCCCGAACCACCGTCAGTGATTATGTAGCAGGTAGAGTATATTTCTTTGATCCTAGGATGATGATATTGGCGTATCATTTCCTATTTTCATTTTTTTAAAGACAGACCTGGCATCCAGATCCTGTAACGTATCTTCTCTCTTACATATGAGTCACGGTAGGGGCCCCAGATGTTCCCAGATGTTCTTGGGTAGTGGTCCATGATGTGTTCTTCATTAGCAGCCTTGTGATGATAGGGAAGAGGGGGGGGGGGGTTGTAATTCAAGTACATATTCAATAGATATCGGGTTGTCCCCGATTGTTTGTGCGATTGTCTCCAGTTGGAATAATTTAGTTGAGTAAATCGGTATCAACGTTTCGTTGTGGTTTATTGGTTGTGCCTGATTGTGTTTTGATGGGTTGAGTAAATCGATTGAGTATTTGACTAAGCCTGGTTGTGTAATGGTGGGTTGGTGTCAAGTAGGTATAGGTTTTGCCGAAATGTGTTGTGTACGTTTGAGATTAGGTTCTCTTTTGATGATTGTTAGTCTGGTGATTTAGTATCGGGTTGTGTCCCATTGTGTTATGTTAATCTTATAATGGGTTGTTTTTTCTTGTGGATATGTTCTGTTGGTTGGCTAGCTGGTTGTGGCTAGTCGGGTGAGGTATCTTGTTTTGTCTGATTGTGTTGTGTGATTGGCGTTGTCTCCAATTGGGTTAAGTTAGTTGTGTATCTCGGTACTACAATTTTAATGTGTTTTTGCCTGTGCCTGATTTTGTTTTGATTGTTTGGTTTTGGGTTTTGAAAAATTGTGTTGTGTTACTTGAACAATGGGCTGTGTTTTCTTTTGTTGGTTTAACATTGGGTTGCGCCAAATTGTGTGGTGATAATTTCACAGTTCGATGTGTTTTCATGATTGTTAGTTTAGTTGTGTTTTATTGATTGTGCCTGATTGTGTTTTTATTGTTTAGTGTTGGATTGTGCACATTTGTGTTGAGTTAATTCAACAATTGGTTGTATTTGTCTTTGTTGTCTTATTATTGGGTTGTGACATATTGTGTTAATCTGACAGTTGGTTGTGTTTTGGTGGTTGTAAGTCAGGTTGCGCCATGCTGGCTTTGGTGCTGGGTTATGCTATATTGCGTTCTGAGTATTTTGACACTGGGTTATGTTCTATTATACTGTTGCATGATTGGTGAGCTAGGTTGTGTTTGGTTGTAATAGGTTATATATGTCGAGTTGTGGGCTGTGTCCGATCTGCAGGCTGTGGTGTTTATTGGGATAAGAAACAAATGGCCGGTTTAGGGTATTATGTTGTTGGTTTATCAGTTGATTCTATGTAGACCCCAAAGGGGATATAGGGTATTATGATGGTGAGATATTCAACTGGCATGGTAGGCGTTAGCTTCGCGTCGTTCTCTGATGAGCTGGTCCCCTGTTGTTCAATTAATTCAAGAAAAACAATGCTAATTTATCTTTTTACATAATATATCTTTTGTTGATTTCTCATACAAACATATTTTTATTGCATAACTGATATATTTGTGTCGCTTTCTATGATCAAATATGTTACTTTGTTCCCCTCCTTAGTTTATATGAGGCATGGGTTTTCAACCAAAGCCCATGTATGAGGAAAGGGGGTGGCTTATGTGAAAACGTATGGTTTTCGAATGCCTTGGCCTGGCCCAAGTCGCTATTTTTTTTATTTATTTGATCTTGAATTATTACCAAAATATACAGCTGCAAAAACATGAAATTAAAGGTTCATGTGCAGTATGTCAAGTGATTTTAGAAATGTTTTCGCATTTTGTGGCATAATGCAGTCACTGCATGTCACTTAATGACCACTATTCAGCCTATCTGTTTTCAAACCCTTGAATATTCCCAAAGGTATCATTTGACACTGAATTGGATATTGTAAACCAGGAAATAATCTTTCCTGGCCTAAAGGATATTCTTCATTTTGAAATTGATGTCATGAAATTAATAAATGACACCTTAGGGATGAAAGGGTTAATATGTATTTTGCACTCACCAAAAATACTTTTGGAGTTGTGATTCTGAAAGCTGTCACTCCCAATGGTGTTTTGAAATCTTAGTGCAGATGAAGCCTTTTATTTGACCCTAGTTTTCACTACTATTAAACACGGATTGAGATGCGTTTATAATTACGTACTTCAAAAAACGAACTGCGAAACGAAAATTATCGAAATACGTATCCGTAAACGTAACGAGATACGGATGCGGATACGTTTTAGCTAATTCGCTTTGCGAAACCTCTCTAGTGACATCCGAAAAACACATATATGCATTTATTTTTCCCTTATGGCTTTAATTGATATTGGATTAGAAATAGGTGGCTTAGTAGCTGAAAATCAGGGGCCTGGGGTAAATAAAAAACCTCTAAAGAATCTATAATACTCAAATCTGTACTACGATCACATGCGTAATATTGACCATACTGTTGTATATTTACAGTGTTATATTTTTGTCCGGATCTTTGATGATAGCATTCTCCAAACCAGGTACGTACTCCTGCTTTAACTGATACAAAATCAATGACAGAACACTATACACGTCAACTACGAATGTACAATGCTTATTTAGTTCCACAATACCCAAACGCTGGGTTATCAGCTACACCTAAAACACATGTGAAAAATATTGTCATATTTAGAAATGTTTACCCTACTATCGCACCAAACTAGTTCTCACTACGTTCTCGAAAACGGGCTTCAACTGTGTACGAACGGACTGGACGTACTTAGAACCGTTTGGGGTCTATTTACAAACTTCATCGAACGTACTCGAACGGGTAGGTCGAACGGGCAAGTTGCCATTGCGTTCTTCAAAATTGGTTTTAAACTGTGTGCGAACGGAATGAACGTAGCTACAACGTTCTAAGGTCTGTTTACGAACTTCCTGGACTTTCCCGGACGGGGAATGTGATTTAGAATTTTGAATCGATTCAAAATTCGATGGCGACCATACTGTTCTGTAATCAGGTCATGATGACCTTCTAGACTAAGAGACGCGTTATACGACGTTGCACACCGACGTGGTGCGACCTGAACGAACTGCGAATGAGATGAACATATTGAAGACTATTTATGAACGAAGTAGCTAATTATTCTAGACATATTTCCCGACCACAGCCAGATTGAGCCAGTTTTACGACGTTTTCGTAGGACTGGCAAGAACGGGTAAGAACTAGTTTGGTGTGATAGGGGGGTTAGGTATTGTTTCATAAATGCGACTCCTTTACATTTTGAAACACATGCGAACTGGAAAGTGGAATTAGAAATGTGCATTCGAAGTTTCATAAACATTCCAAGTTTCATATCTAAGCTTTCACATATGATATTTAAACCTACCCTCTTCCAGCAATTCCGTACGTCCTATACCCAGCGGTGCTATGCGTGATGTACGGAGGTTTCTTTATCCTTATGACTAATATGCAACTTGGAAATCTTCTCAAGAGAGGGAGAAATACTCTGATATGTATAATGAACGGGGCATTTGATTCAAGCGCATTCGTCTTACTTCTTATCAAAGTATGTGCAGTATTTTGTTAACATTATAGAGTTTTTCGGTTTGCAAATGTACAAAAATATCCCTTTATATGGTCCTTACTGTAAACCTTCCGCTTCCTCTTAATTATCAGCAAGATTGTTTCACATCATGACTTACAAAAATAGACATGACCGACATAATGAAATACATATCTATTATCATGAAAACAAAGGATGTACTTATAATTTATCTTATATTTTATATATCCGGTGTCCAAAAAGTGAGACACTTTTTGACAAGCAATTTCTCAGCAATTAACCAAATTCACTGAAAATGTGCCTCAGGGTATCAACAGCAAGTTGTAAAAATATCAAAATATCACGTTTATGTAATATATACAGAATATCACATCATTTTGAGTGATATCATTTTTATCGCCGAGTTGATATCAAATATCAACACGAGTGAGCAAAGTGAATGAGTGTTGATATTTGATATCTACGAGGCGATAAAATGATATCACGAGAAATTATGTGATATTGGGTTTATCCCATGATTTCAATCACCTTGTGATGTTCTGATCCAATTTCCAGGACATTGGCAGACAATATAAACTAGAAATTCGCCAATTCTTCGTCAGACGAATTTGCACCGGCCACTGCGCAGTAATATGCACTACTTTCTGTACATGATATAGTTCGTCATAAATACCATTTTTAATCGTTATTAAGCAGCCTTCTAATCAAATTATATACACAATCGTAATTCAATACACCAATGAAACTTAAAGAGAATAAATTAACGGACCTATTTTCTCAAAAGAGAATAAATTATCTGACCTAACTTCCAACAATATTGTGGCGCGAAATGCAAATGTGATATCACACGGATATGCGTGAGATAAACGATATCACACGCATATGAGTTTGATAAACGATTTTCTGGAAAATATCACACGGATTTCAATAATATCAGAAATATCAATAGCTGTTATTGTACAGATAACACATTAATCGTGGGATAAATAGAGGATATCCTATGATTTATGAGTGATATGATTTTTATCCACGAATGGATATGATATCTGCACGAGCGAGCGTAGCGAGCTATATGCTCTATGCTATATGCTATATGCTCATGCTCATGCTTTATTCCATGCTAACTATGGAATAAAGATGAATATACTGTATAATATTATATATATATAAATATTATGTAAGATGTTCAAAAGAGCATGTCAAAAAATCACATACCAGAGTTCTGCGATGAGACCGTCATAGTATTTATTTGTTATTGTATTATGTTTTATAAAACATGAACAATAATTTGTTGTAATTTGTTGTAATTTGTAATGGTCTGTGTCTTATAAAATGTACAAACGTTCGAATCAAATTATTTACGTTTTTTGACCCCCTGTGATGAATCATGAAAGACATTTTTCGACCCGAAAGCCGGAAGTTTTTTTTAGAAAATGGTATCTAAAAAATCAAGACATATGCACTTCCTTAAACATTGCCTCAAATGTTGCTGCACTATAGTGTGCTACGGATCCTTCATATTCGGAAGTCATACCAGCATGGACTATTGTTTTCAAAGTGTTTGGCTGATCTATTGTTGAGAAATTACTTGTCAAATTGGTTTTTGTTTTGTTGGTACAGATGCTATGAAGTTCTTTTTGCGTTGCTCCGGTATGGAATCTTTTGACGATGCTATCTTTATTTTTTTAGTACTCACTTGATATTTAATTGGCCTTTTTTGTAATTTTGTAACTTGCTAATAATACTCCTGGGCTACTTTGTACAAAGTTGCAGGGACTTTGGCTTATCAATTGCTGAGAAAATACTTGTCAAAATATCTCGCTTTTTTGGGACACCAGATATATTTGTCACTAATACCCAGTTAGTCTGGCGATATCATACTGTACATGTACAGTAGTATAAGGTTGTATAACCATGTGTAACGTGAATGGGATCTCATAAATGGATAATTGCTGAAAATATATTTTAGATATGCTTATTTTATTTTTTGATTTAACAATACTTATATTGACCTATATTTTGTTGCAAAATCAATATTTTGATCTTCTTTATAGGTTGCATATGAAGCCGGGATATCTTTAAAGGCGTCTTTCTTAACTATCAGTGCCATCTATAGTATCTGTATTTTAAGTACGTTTCTATGGTTACCACGACAATTTATTCTGGATCCACTGCCAGATGACTTTCACTTGACAATATGCTCTTCATGTAAACGTAATCATGGAGATTACGCAATCGAAGTTAAATCCGACCTTGAAATAAGCAACATTAATGAGACGCAGACACAAGATCCAAATGAAGAATCGGGTGAAACCGTCGAGTCGACAGATGATAACGCACCAAACACACCAGGTGACTCGCCACAACCTTTTAGTGTTGTTATACAATCGCCTATGTATTGGACAAGTGTTCTCTGGTTTTCGTCAACACACCTACGGCTCATGTTTTTCTTGGGTAACTTCAACTCGTGGATAACAAACCTGACTAAAAACAATGCACAGAACGGTAAGTTTCTGCATCGGCTTTCAAGAGACTTGGTGTCTGAGCATTGTAATATCAATTTCACGGTGTTTCGATAAACAGATCTGCACTTTTAACCCAAAACCGTTCATGTAACTTAAGTGAGGAATTAAATCGACGATTCTGTTGTCTTCTAAGCTATTTTTCGCAAACATGTACATTTTCTAAAACATATATGCTTATATTTGGATGCTTCTCTGCCATGTTATTTTCATGGCTGAAATTCTTTAAATTACAAGAGGGTACAGGCTTATTGCACAAAAAACTAAATAATCTGAAATATACAATTCACACCGGAATAGCCTGATAACGGTAAAGTCAGACACTGTTGTCACAAATGGCGGACATAACCATCGCTTCACCTTCGGTTCGTGCTATGTACGACATTCTGTCCAACTCGTGCTGAATTTCACCATATCACATTTATTCCTTGAAGTATATAATGAAGTAAACACGATCTTCATTCTCATTTTTAGTTAGTATGTATACAACAGTATTCTCGTTTATGTTATTTGCGGCTGTTATTATGGGTCCTCTTTCTGGGCCAATGCTTGACAGACGAACAACGGCCCCAATCGGATCCCTAGCCTTTAAATTAGGTATTTACATCGTGATTAGATATATTTGGAATTAGTAAATCTTTTCTTGACTATAGATAGGTTTTATCATACATGATGTTACATTAGAATACACTAGGATGTATTTTTTCCATTCCAGAGAAAATTCGTCATTTCATCCCAATGTTTTATCTTAACACCGGCCTCGGTGTTCTGCTCTCTGCATGTGCTGCCATTCCTGTGTTAGAACTGCAATACTTTACATTCGTGGTGTTTGTCTTGCATAGGACCTTCAACTACGGCCCTGCATCGGCATTCCTTGCACAAGCGTAAGTGCACTGAAATAAAGTCCCCTGATATTTATAAAAGTATTGCTGTAAGGTTCACAATGAGCCTAATTATATTGTTAACTGATCATTTTTGTAAAAAGCCATAATCAAATAAAAGTAGATAAATTGCGTTTTTAGATTTCCAAGTCAACATTTTGGTAAGCTTTATGGTATTATGTTTACTACGGGTGCTATTGTAAGTTTACTGCAGTACCCTCTGTTTATCTGGATCAAAGGACCACTAAGGAATGATTCCATGTGGGTGAGTACATTTATGAATAAATAATTGTATTCATTGTAGCAGTTTACCTTTGGTTTTGCGTTTCAACGATTGGCAATATATATGGTGATATGGTAATAACAAATTATTAATGAAATGTTAAAATGCTCCACATTTTACATCGGATGTTTGCACATTATCATTAAATACATTATTCGAAATCAAATGCTTCTAATTCCATTATATTAAATCATGTTGACATTAATGTTTAATTTTCAACTTATTGTAAATTCCAAGAAAAAAGGTCATATGCTGCTAAAACACCTGTGTACACGTACAAAACATAAAATTTTATAAACATGATAATTTCTGTGATTGTTTCAGGTACACATAATTCTCATTTGTTTAGCTGCCATGTCCATTGTTCATCCTATCAACGTATGGTTGTATTGCCGAACGAATGCCAGTCGGATACGTATGGACAGCAAATATAGCAAAGTAAAGGATATGCACAGAGAAACTAATCATATACAACAAAATGTTGGCAATGCGAATAATATTACAAGTATGCAATGAGGATGTGCCCTCTGAATTGGAATCCAAGCTAGCCCCCTGACAATGACAACATAATTGCGAATTAATGTATAAATAGAGAGGGTTCGCAAACGTTTTTTGGCTCAACGGATCCGTTGTCGTAACGTATTTACAAGAGTTTTGCGTAGTCAGTTCAATTTATACGTGAAGAGATACGGAAAACACCAAAATGTGGCTTTTCTACGTTGGTCATTTTAACGTAGATCCCATTTTATCCTTCGATTATATTGTTTTTAGTTCCAAAGGTACCACTATATTCAATTTCAATTTATTCATACATTTAATCATTATGTGTACATATATTATTAATAACAGGTGGCACCACAGGTGATGCTTATACCCGTACATATGGTAGTTAAATCATATAGCATATCATTATGTTGTCAAGGAATCAAACCAGAATGTAATCACAAAAGTTAGGTAAATAAATAAAGGTTGTGGGGGGATCCATGATGCTCATTTCTTTTGAAGCCAAGAAGGTGCCATATGCCATGGGAAAAAAATTATGAATGTGTAGTTTCATTAATTATTATTTAAAGACGCCAGGCTACCGCGTTGACGCCAATAATTTTCTAAAAGTGTGATTCTTATAAAATATTAGGTATTAGTGTACCTTCCCCAAGGTTGGTACGATCAGAATCATTGTGTTAAATCGTCAGTAGGTCGGGGCAGCCCCCAGGTCGGCCCATGTACCTTCCTTGAGAGCCTACCCTAACTTCTTAGCGAAGAAACAAGAAGTGACACAGTCAACCAATGATTAATAAGCTGAGAGAATATGTTTCTTAAGTTTTGATTTAAGAAAAGAACTTGAATTTGACTTTTTTATTTCTTCTGGGAGACTGTTCCATATGGATGAACCACTAAAGGCTATTGTTTTTTTGCCATAGTTTTCAGTTTTTGCTTTAGGAAGGGTAAAGTTTGATTTGCCTCTAGTGTTATATCTATGAAAATCTCCATGGGTTTTGAAATAATCTGGAAAAATAGTTTTATAATTGTTTATATCATTTTTCCATTTAAAGACAAATTCAGCAATATTGATTTTATATATATCATGTATTTGTATGATTCTAAGCTCTTTAAAAAGTGGTATGAACAAGCACAGTGTGTTGTCTATAATTTGACTTTTTGGTGAATGAATTTGTTTAATGTTTGACATAAATTGAATTTTTCAAATTGTTTGTTCAATTCATTTTACATTGTATGGAACGATATTGCAACAATTACAGCGAACATGTTTCGCACAACGTTATAGCTTCCCGTATCAAAATACGTAACGCATCGATGGGGTAAAAGTGTACTCAATACGTTTGTGCTACCGACAGCAATACCGGAAGTATGTAAACTAACGCTTTCTGTGCGTAGTTGTTTCCAAATCTATTTTGTCCTTCAAATCTGGATAATTTTCCCTAAATGTATACTTTTAGTAACCCGTATATGTTATCATGTATATCGTGCTAATTTTGATGAAGTAATAGGCTAATCTCAGTCGATCTGTTATGACATGCGCTAAGCTCTATTTAGTGATATTTTCAATTCAAATATGGCGGCCAATCCGATGGCTGACAACCCTTAAAAAGCTTGGCAGTGTGCACTTTTACCTCCTGTGAAATAACAAGTGGAATTTAGTCGTTGTTTTGTGTTGTATTATCATTCTGCATCGTAATTCTATATGATGCGGTGTTAAAACGTCAGCAGACATAGATATCCATTCGATAATCGAGTGAATTAGATAACAGATTTTTCGAAAACCCGTCTCCTGCTAAGGATATAAAAACTTGTATTAACATGCTCAAATTTGTAAATGTCAAGCTAAATCAATGTTGTGTCTAAAACAAGTACCTGATCTACTCAAAACAGCTTGTCATTCACGTATACACGCTTAGCAAACATAGCAAAATGATCTGAATCTTGGCTTTTCGTTCGAGGGCTAGTAATGCTCTACATGTCTTCATCATAAGTGTTCATCAGACTTCAGACGAACCAATTTGAGATCTACGAAACTCAAAAGCGGACTGACGGCGCATTCTACAATGCTGGGATCTAAGATTTTCAGTATAGACAAAGCCTTTTGGGATCTTTCGAATGAGGTCAGTCTCCAGTTCGGAAGACAATCGTATCAACTTGAACAAATTATTTTAACATGCGCAGAAGTCGCATTTTCGTCGTACCATATTGGCTGATCTGTCGATAAAGAACGAGTGGACACCCCATTTATATTTAGTATATTTTGGTATCATTTCAGAAAATGTCTCCAGAATGTGTAAACCAAACTTGGCAGATGCCCAATTGTTAAATTGTATCACTCTATACACTCATTGGATTAATAGTTCATACAAATAAATAGTCATATTTCAATAGTCATTGAGTGGGGATTAGTTATGTTTGGAATTTTGATGACCTGCTTATTTTTGGAGAGAGGAAGGTCATGATAAACTCTTGCTTTGTTCATACGCCTGCAGTGGTAAGATAGGGTGAAATCGTGGTCATTTAGAAGTATGCATTCTTTGACACAATCAAGTTTAGAGGCAGATGAGATAATAAAGTCAATGCACTTTCGATGTGCGAGGTCAAAACTACAATGTGTACTCGGGTTCTGTAGCAAAACTTTGAGAATTAACACAAACTAAATTAGAGTCAAAAATGAATTTCTCTACACATTTTCCTCTATCGCTGATTGTGCCAATTGAACGTATTCCACCTAGTTGTCAAATGAGCATTAAAATCACCTGCAATAGCTGTACCTTTACTGTTGTATGTATCATAATCCTTAAGGTTTTGTAAATACTCAGATATATAGATATTGTTGTATTGCAAGATGGTAAATAACTCCAAGAATATAGTGTTTCGTCGTCAAGACCTATCTCAATTCCACATATTCTATTTTCAATTTCGAGCTCAGACACATTGTTAATGGAGATGCTGTATAAGATTGCAACATCACCTTGACCTCTACGCTTGTTAACAGTATCAACAGGAAGGCGATTATCGCACAAAGCGATACTAGAAAAATGCGAATCAATGGAATTGAGATAGTTAACAGTAGCAGGGTATAGCCAATGTTCTTGCATAACACACACGTCAATATAAAGTTTAGTTATTAGAATCTATCTGGAGTCTATTGCTTTTGCCAGTTTTCTTATTCTTTCTTTCTTTCTTTCTTTCTTTCTTTCTAAACACTTTTTCTCAGCAACTAGAAGAACTTACTTACATGGTCAGTTAGGGTATATGACCTAGTTTCTGGGAAATTAGGTCAAATTTTTATCTAGATCAAAGGTCAAAATCTAAGTAAAATTAACATTTTGTCAATTATCTTCAATATTTTTTCAATTTTATTTAATGTGTAGCCAATAAAAATAGGATTCGACAGTGCGTAATCAGTTTTTTTGATTTCCTCTACCGATTTTGAGATATTGCGTCCGGAAAGCAGGTCAAACGAAAAATTCTCCAAATTTAACGTATGAGTCATGAAATAAGTGTTAACTTTTTCAGGAATACAAATCTGCAAACCAAAATCCGAAATCCGGTTTGGAAGTAATAGCGTTTTGAAATCTCAAAAATCGCTAAATTTGGTGCCCCTTGTTGAGTCAATGGGAAGAAAGTCTTTTTCTGAAGTGTAAAATACGAGCTATAGACTGATAGTGGGCTGTATAGCAAGGTTGGTCGGGGTCGGGAGCTGGGGATAATTTTATTGCTTACACTGCATAAAATAACGAATATTGCTTGCAAATAACGAGCAATTCTAGTGGTTATTTGCTTCAAATTGCATGTTATAACCAGTAATCATCACTGACAGAACGCAGACAATAACTGCATATATGGAACACACATATATGCAGCTGCATATAACAAACATCCACGGAGAATACTGACTGCATATACGGGTACTGTCACTGAGTATATTTGCTTATATTCAGACATACTTTGCTTATTTGCTGTTTACTTGTGATTATATGCAGCGCTGAAACTGCATATACCTGCTTATTTGGGATAGACAAATATAAGCAGTTGAGTATACTTGATATATATAAAAAACAGGATCTTAAGAGGTTCTGGACAAATCATTTGATTCTGGACTTGACATATTTTTTTTCCAACAAAATCACATCCAAGGGTTGAATTTTTATTGGATATTTAGAGAGCGAGTCCTGTATTGATTTCAATAAAAAGGTTAAAATAGAACGCTATTTGAGAGTTAATCTTATACTTTCATTACATTGATAAATTAAGGCAAATTCTGAAAAATTTTAAAGTGCATTTTTTATGAAATATTATCCAAGTATTTAGATGAAACGGTCTTATTTAAATACAAATCATAACATGATGATATTTTTTCATAAAATATTTCTTCAAGAAATTCAATTGAAGGCTCAAGATAAAACGAGCTAATTTAGGTGAAAAGCCTTACATGATGATGTGTTTTCATGACTTCTTTCATAAAATTCCATCAAGGGGTGAAAATAAAATGATCGAATTTAAGTGATTTAAGGATCACGAGGATAGGTTTTCTTGGATATTTTCTATGAAATCCCATCCAGTGGTCAAGGTAAAATTTTTATTTGGTATATTTGGTCACGTGTTCGAACCCATAGAACCATATAGGAACGTCATTTTGAATGTTACCTGATAAATCCATATAAGGCTTTTAGAACAATGTGGGGAAAGATGAGGGGAAACCCCTGACACCTGTTCACGATTTTATCCGAACGTTCATCGGATCATTTCGGTTTTTATGCACTTCATTATTCTACCGAAGTTTGCCGATTCGATTCGTCGTATTTCGGAATATTGGGGACAATTTTATACTCCATTGGGAGTATTTTTAATCTACTTCTTATTACGAAGATTCCCGAACCTTGTTCGGATTAATCCGGATTTTCTGACCTACTTCATCTACCGAGATTTAACGAGTTTACATTCGGCTCATTTCGGAATCCTGGTGACAATTTTATGCTCCATTGGAGTATTTTTGATCTACTTCTCTGGATTTTTGATCTACTTCTTATGACGAAGATTCCCGAATCAGTTCGGATTAATCCGGATTTTCTGACCTACTTTATCTACCGAGATTTAACGAGTTAACATTCGTCTCTTTTCGGAATCCTGGTGACAATTTTATACTCCATTGGAGTATTTTTGATCTACTTT